GGAAATCGAACTCATGCGGAAGCGGCCTCAGATTCTCAATGCTGTGCTTTAACCCGCTGCGCCACCAGGGAGGGCCCGTGTGTTATGTTTTTACTTCAAAAACTTAAATAGAAGGAATACCCAGGACACAATCCTAAGGCAGGAATGTTCCAGAAAGAGTGAGTAGGAGAGTAGACTAAGAAGAAGGGACAAGAATGAGAGTAATAAAAAGATGAGCATCAAAAAATGTGTCAGGCACTGTTTTAGGCCCTATGGCAGTTCTATTGTGTCCCTCTTCTTATATGGGAGACAGACAAGTAGTGACTAGACAGCAAGAAAGTGTTGCTACAATAGCAGTGACTCATACTGAGTATTTACTATGTGCCAGGCACTTTGTCATCTGGTAACTTACTGTCTTCTTCACATTCTCAGAGGCTCTGAGAGGCCCTTAGAGAGGGATCCTCCTACAAAATCTAAAGATGCTTTGATAAAACTCTGTATGCGTGTAGAGCGGTACCAAGGCAAGAATGATCTGCCGCACAGGGCAGTGTAGGGTGATCTTAGAAACTGCAAGAGAACGTTCTAGAGAAATTCACCCTTGAGTTGCACATTTACAGATGAAAAGATAAACAGTTGTTGTCTGTTAAGGAACAGAGAAAGGAGTGAAGGGGCATAGTGTATTAAAACTGAAGGCAAGTATGGAAGGCCCAGTTGTTGTAGCCAGTAAAGGTACAAAAGAAGAACCCCCAAAAGCAGACAGTAGGGATATGTCTGTCAGTTGAGGCATCTGGATTTCATACTATAGGCAATTAGGAGTCAGGAAAAGATTTTTTAAAGGGAATACATGAGAAATTAATTCTGTCAGCTTTGAGGTGGTTGTGGAAGCTATGGAAATACCTAGATTTTTACAAGGTGTATGGAGGGGGGAAGAATAGCGGAAGCCAACCCTCTGTTTTCCCTGCTTTCTGGAGTTACACACAGACTAGGGGTGGCAGCAGAAGATTCTAAGGGATGGGTTGGGGAAGGTGGCTGGGGCTTAGAGCCAGGGAAGAAAGGAGGGCTGGCCAGCTTTCTCTGCAGCAGCCAAGACTGGATATCACCCAGGAGTGCCTGGGAAGAAGGCCTATAAAGCAACTAGCACTCAAACAGACGTGCCCTCTGACCCTCCCTAGCAAATAATGTCTCAAAATTCATTTTCCTCCATATCTCATATTTGAAGAGAAGGATATTCTATTGACTTGTGATTGACTGTCTGAAACTATTTACTGTGGAAATATTTTGCCACCACGATAGGCTCAGGTTTCACCCTGGCCCTTCTGTTGCTTTCCTGGGCTCTACCTGAGACATCTAACTGCCTTCCATTTAATCGTCAGCGCATTAAGCCCAACACCCGGCTCTTCAGCCCTCCTCACAGACCAAGTTCTCTACCTGGTTTTTGTCTTGATTTTCAGGTAGCATAATTCTCCAGTCACTAAAGATAGCAATTCACCTCTGTCTTTTGGATTCTTTTCTCTTAATTCGACTTTCCATCCAGTTTCAGCACTTGATCCTGTCGTTCTTTTTTTTTTTGAAAGTTTTCTCCAGTCCTTGCCTTCTCGCTACTGCCAACACTTTATTCTGTGTTCAGGCTGGCCTTGTCTGCTGCAGTGACCACAGCATTGAAACACATGCCTGACTTTGTCATTCCCCTTTCATCGTTCCCAAATATCCAAAATATGACCCCACCTTACTTTCTCTTTTTTTTTCTCTCACTCCCCTGAAGTTCCAAACCACACAGGATTCATCCACTAGACCTTGTACCTACTCTTCATGCTTCTTGTTCCTGAGTTTGCTTTCCCTATTCTGTATGGGGAATTTTCAGCCATCCATTAAAATCCCTCTCAGGCACTGCATCTTCTGTACCTTTCTCTGACACTCTTAGGCATGTAGTCTCAGAAGAGAGGGGTATTATGCATGTGGAGATAAACGGGCCTGGGAGGAGGTGACACTACCTAAGTTTTTGAGGACCTCTGTGCTTGTTGGTGTTGAGTTTGTCCTTCCTTGGCATGTAAAAAATTTTAGTTCAGAACTTGTTTGTCTGTACTGGTAGACTACTGCTTCCTGCAAATGTTCTACTTCTAAAGGACATAGCATTTGCTCAATGCACTTGCATTATGTGATAGTCCAGGCACTTCATAAGGAACTTGCTCAGAGAAATAAGGCAAAGCACCTATGTGGGTCATGTTAAGATTGACTTTACACAAAACCATTAAAAATGGGGGGAGGGAAACCTCTCTTCCCCCAGACCCCCATTCTTGTCTTTAATACCTAAGACTTGCTTCCCTCCCTCCTGTCTCAACTAGTACCTGGATCTTTCCTTTCTTCACCCTCACCTTTCCAGTCTATCCTTTTTGAAGGCTGCCATTCTCATAAGGACCCGTCCAAACACTTTTCGGTACTTATTGGGCAACCAGTAGCTAGCACACACAGTTCTGGGCCAAGGTAACCAATTTGAGCAGGGTGAGTCAAGGCACTTCAGAGGGAGGGTGAGGAACTTGCCCCATCCTTAATTTTATTGACAAATGCAAGGCATTTTATTTGCAAAAGTTAAACTAACAGAAAACACACTCATGTGTGTTCCAGGTGATAGGATGGCCACTTCTTTTTAATTTAGATTTCTCGGTTTGCAACACAGGAATTAAGGTAGAGGAGGAAAAAAAAAAAAGGCAGGAGTTTGGGACGGGGCAAAGTGGGAGAGGGATGTGTTCTATCTCTCTCTCTTTTAAAATTACTATTATTTTAGGTGAAGCTCTGAGAACCGAGAAAAACAGAAAAGGGTGGCATGGGCAAAGACATGTGGCTGGGAGACACAATGGCGAGACCGTAAGACTGGACCTTAGAGACGCAGAGGAGACACTGGCAGGCAGTCGGATCGTCTGGGACAGGCTGACCGGCGCGCAGCCACGCAGGCAGGCCGGGACTGGGCTTGGCGGCGACCGCAGTGGACGGCTCCGGACCGGGCCCGAGCCCTGGAATAGGCGCCTGGGTGGGACCGGAAGGCGGGGCCCCGCCAGACCAGAGATGGACAATTCCTCAACCAATCGGGTCCTTCCTGAGATGCGCAGCAGCCAATGAACAGACGACTGGGTCCGGGGCGGGGTCGGGGCCAGAGCCAGGGCAGGCGGGCTGACAGCCCCGGGGCCGGGAGCGGGGAGTGCGGCTCTGAGGTGCCACCGGGTGCGGCGGCGGCTGCTCTGAGTCTCCTGCCCGGAGCCGAGCCCACCGCGGCGGGGACCGGGATTCAGAGGCGCGCGGCAGCGGCTACAGCGGGAGGGAGGACGATGGCAGCGCCTGGTCGGGCCGGAGCAGTGATTGCAGCCGCAGACCGCAGACGCTGGCTGTGGTCGGTGCTGGCGGCTGCGCTCGGGCTCTGTGAGTGCTGCCGGGACCGGTCCGAACCGGGCGGGCGGCGGGGGCTCCCAGGGTTGCACACGCCCCTCGTGGCGATCCGGGCCCTGCGCGGTGGGCACCGAGGTGGGCAGGGGGCGCGGCCTGCGCGCTCCCGAGCGCGGGGCATCGAGCCGGCGGGAGCAGGGGCGCCGCGACGGGCTGGGGAGGCGCGGAGCCTCTTTCTTCTCCTCGCTGAATCCCCGCGGGTGGAGGAGGAGGGGAGAGCTCCCTACCTTGCTCCTTCTTGTGGGGCCGTCAGGGGAGAGGGCCCCGCGCGCGGCTGCCTTGAGCGCGCGCGGAGTCTCCTGCCTTCCCTGCCTGGTGACTGGGGCGCCCAGGTCCATCGAGGATTCCAGCCCAAGAACCCGGGGTTCTGGCGTTCTCCACCTTTGCGAGGTGGCGGAAGGTTGCAGGCTTTTCATTTGCAGGCCCTTTGTTGGTTGGTTTCCGTGCTTTAGCGAATGTTTTGCTTTACCTTGTAAGTTTTATTTTGAATGCTCTGCTATACGTTTTTATAAGCTTCCGTCATGGAAGACTCCTGGAGTCTCATTTGTCTCATCTCTGTAGGCTGCCCCAGGACGAAATGTACATTACTTTTGGGTTAGGATGCAAAGGGCTGGCAATACCCCTGACATGACCTGGCTTAAAAGAATGCAGTCGCATCCATAATACTTCCAGACGTGGGTCACTAGAGTGACAAGACACTGAACATAAAAAAACACACTTTCAAAAAAAAACAACAACAACAACAACACACACACACTTTCCTTAAAAAAAAAGTAAAGCTTTTTTTTTTGTTTGCCAAATTTCATGGTTCGAACTGAAGTTAAACCTCAGGCTCGATATATGGAACTGGATGGGTTATTTTGTGGACATCTGAAGTGGTGTGTGCTGTAAGACGTTTTGTGTTGTTCAAAGCAGGGTTGTGTTGTCTCAGGATGTGGTTAAGTAATGGTTCTAGAGGGCCAACTGCTGAGATACGTCTTCATTTCTTTTGTTTTGCAAGATGTCAGTGCACCAGCCTCTGAAAAGTTTACTCAGTGATTTCTTTCTTTAAAAGATCCTTAATGTAATCTTTGGCCATTTTAAATATAAGTTAACCAGTGATTCCAGGGGCTTATCAGGTATAAAGGTAAAAGTACCCCTTCCCCAGATTGACAAGGGAAGTATACTTTGGATATATAAAATGAGTCCATTCTGTATGTCTTCTGAAAAATAAAAGTTACATGTTTTTTGCTGAGGGTGGTAGTAATATTTAACTGGCCATGTAAGAAATAATCTAAAATGAAAGTTTATCAGAAATCTGATGTGGTTCAGGCAGAATTATTATGCAGGAGAGATTAAATATCATGGAGGACATAGCAACAGGATAATCTTAAACTCAGGGTATTAAAAGTGCCACAACTGAAAGACTAAGTATGAATAGGTTGAAATCTGAAAGAAGCCACAGAATTATAGCCACATCCCCTCTGTGGACATTGCTAGTTTCTCAGTAAGAAACCTTTCAAGATTGCTGGCTTAAAGTTAGCAGTTGGTGTTTTTAGTCCATTGTAGAAATTTTTAAAGTTTCTATATAGATGCTGTATATAGAAGTTTATCTTTTATAGAGAACTTTGCATTTGACCCAGACATAGTAATCCCACTAACATCTGTTAAGAACCTTTTAAGATTAAGCACCAAAGTATTCCAGGAAGGGCAGGTCCCTTCCTTGTATAATATGAAGTTTGTTGGGAGAAAAGTGGGATAAGTCACATAAGTCTTTGGAAAAGGTGTGCTGAGGGAACTGAAAGGGGTCATCATCTCAGACGGAAGGTCTGGCTGCTGGAACACACACAGAATTGTGAGCTGACCTTTTGATGGTTCAGTGCCGTGGTGGTTGGAGTGGAAAAGAGAAGGCGGGAGGCAAGTCAGGAGAACCAGCCTGAGGATTGTAGTTACCACTGGGGAGGTTGGATTTCCTCCTAAGGACTGTGAGAAACCCATGAGGGACCTCGCTGCTCTTGGGGATATGGAACATGGGTTAGAGTGAAGATGAGAAGCCAGAGAAGCCAGAGTGTTGTTATAGTACTCCAGGGGAAAGTACTGAAGATCGACATTAGAGCACTGGGCTATCTAAAGAACTCATGTTCATGAGTTTACTAGAAAGCCAATTTGATAGGACTTAGAAACAAATTTGATATGGATTGGACAGAAGAGGTATCTAGTATGATCCTAAGGTTTTGGGGCTTGAGAAACAGCATTTTTGTTTTTTTGAAAGTGGGGCTTTTCGACAAATATGGGAAAACAGAATAAGAGTGTTGGAAGAATAAGATGATGAGATTGCTTTGGATATGTTGAGTTTAAGATGTCGCTGAGGCATCCAAGTAGAGGTGTGCTAAGGGTAGTTGGGAAGATGGTTCTGGATATGAGGAGAAAGTTCTTGGTGGAAATACAGATTTAGGAAGCTTATTGTGGATCGATGTGTCAGGTAATGTGGGTGAGGTCACCAGGGAAGAATGGAATGAAGGAAATAGCAGAGGGCCACGGACAGAGCCCTGGGGTGTATGGTAACTGAGAAGGATGCTCTGAGTAAGAGAAGAACTGAGAGTTTGGTGTTTGGAAACCCAGAAAGAAGTGGTTAACTGAGAAGATTGGTGTCAAGTGAGAGATTCAGCACAATGAGAATTCTCTGGATTTGGCAGCGGAAATGTCTTGGGAAACCCTAGGGAGGCATGAGCACACTGCACATGAAGAATAAATCTCAGTAACTTGCTCCACCCATTTCAGTAAATGGTACCATCAACTGTCTAATTGCTCAACCCAGAAACCTAGAATCCACCCTTAATTCCTCACATCGCCTCTGATCAGTTTTTCCATCCCCCAAATGCATCTGGAACACAACCACTCGAGAGGGTCACTATAGCCAGTCAAAGTCACTGTCATTTCTTGCCTGAGTCACTGTCGTTACCTCTCATGCTGTTTCCTCCTTACCCCCACCTGTCTTATTTTAATCCATTCTGTATACAACTGCAAGAATGAGTTCTTTGAAAATACAAGTTGGATCATGTCACTTTAAAATCCTTCATGACTTGAAACAAAATTCCAGCTTGTCTCCGATTTACAATGCTCTGTGTCATCTGGTTTCTGACTACCTTTGTAACTCCACATATACTCACTGTATTCAGATTATACTGCCCTATTTCCCACCTCAGGTCCTTTACACCTTCTATGCTTGGAATGCTCCTGCCCAGAGTGTTCTCTTCATCAGGGAAATCAGGGACACCTTAGCATAAGTGTGACTTCCCCAGAGAGACTGTCTTCAATCATCCTATGTGGAAGGGTCCTCTGTTATCATCTCCTATTTTGGACTATTTGGGTTTTCTTCTCTTTCCACCTACCCACCCCCACTAGAATCCAGAACAGAGATAGCATCTATGTTGTTATCTTGTTTATAGACGTATCTTTAGTGCTTGGCTTAATGGATATGATAGATTCTGATAAATGCTTGTTCAGTGGCAATGAGGCATAGAAATAGCTAGCATTTGTTAGTAGTTTATAATATGTAGTTAGTATTTAACCTGGTACATAGTAGCTCTCCAATAAATGTTTGCTGAAAGAAGGAATATTTTTTCCAAGTCTGAGTTCATGTATTATCTGATTATTTTCACTCTGAGGTTATTTGTTCAGAAATGTATGGAATGAATTAACATTCTATGACTACTTTAAACACCATAGTTTTAGAGTTACTAGTTGTTACATATATTATTTTACTATATTTATTATAGTACCTAAGTGTTTTATCATAGAATTTTTTCTGTGTTTTGATACTTACTGACTAAATTTAGACGAGACAGAAAGACCCCCAGATTTCACTACCTCTCTCAGTCTTTGACTGTTTTCTAGTTGGGAAAATAAAGCCAAACTTTTGCCTTTTTTTTTTTTTTTAAGATTTATTTATTTATGCATACAGAACTGGGGTACAGGCCAGAGTTGTAGGGGTGGTGAGAGACTTCACCAGAGGCAGTTTGGGGAGCAGAACAGGTCGACTGACAAGTACAATGCTGAGGGGAGCAGCGGGCGGGTTAGGGGATTGAACTCATGCTGAAATGGCTTTAGCTTCTTAGTGCTGTGCTTTAACCTGCTGCGACACCAGGGAGGGCCAAACTTTTGCCTTTAAAAAAAGTTCCGTTCTACCACACATTTTTACACTAACTCCAGGATACTCACCAGACTCAAATGTTGCTGAAAGAAGAAATAAAGACAACTATTACTCGAAAGGATCTATGTGAAAATCCATAAATGCAAATTTCTGTTTTCACAGTCTTTATTCATTTCTCAACTAAAAGAATACTGATTTGGTGCCAGAGGAGCTTAGGATACCACAAGGAGCTTGACTCTGCTAAGGTGTTAGGCAGGAGACACATATTCAAGTAAATAATGAATACTAAAGATTTAATTTCTACAGTCACCACTTTTAACAAAATAAGGATTCACCACTTATGACCTTTTGCAGCAAATAAAAAGAATAGACTTACTTACATTACAAAAGATATTTTTTAAATTTACAAAGGAAGTTTGTTGGGTGTCACTTGAAATTGATCTTTCTGTTTTTAAAATGTAATTTAACTGAGAAAAACTTGGTATGTATACTTTTTCAGAAATACTGCTGCTTCCCTCTGTGTAGTAAATGCTGGCTACCTGCTATTTCTCACATTCCTTTCTACCCCCACAGAGACTGATTTAGTTCAACCACAATCACAGCTCTCCTGGACAATTAAACATTTCTGGGTAAAGCCTACAGCTGTTTTAAAGTTGTCTTTTATCTGAGAGTTTGAATTCTCCGTGTAGGCTGTGCATCTCACCCTCACCTAAACTTTGGAAAGATTTTAATCTTGTTCTTTACCCCCAGTGGTGTCATTTTAAAAGCGAGATTGAAATGGTTTGCTTGGGCAAAGAGTGCGTTGTGGATTTGCTTGTTCTTTACCCCCAAGGAGAGGGAATTT